GAAGAAGAAGAAGAAGAAGAAGAAGAAGAAGAAGAAGAAGAAGAAGAGCTGCAGAGCTACTAACTATGGTCATATCTGTCCATCTTGTTTTACAGATGGACTTGAGTCACCAACCATATCACATGCCACCAGCTGGTCCTGCCTTACTCTGGGGCTATGCTGTTCCTCCTGCTTGGAATACTCTTTAACTATTCTGGCTGCCTGGCTAACTCATACTCAACCACAAATACTAGCTCAGGTGCTTCTCCAAGGCAGCCTTTCTTTAATTGTTTGCCATGTGAATTGAATAAGAACGTTTTCTCTTCATTCCCATAGGTCTTCCTACCAAAATGCATTTAGCTATTTGCTTAGGTTCTTATTCTAAATTGCCAATCTGCTTAAAGTCCCATCACTGGTACCTAACATCAATCAGAAGCTCACTCAATACTTTGATAAGCTTAATGGGAGGATTTCCTTTCTCCTCTGCTTTCTTCCAGCCTGCATTTTTCAAGTCACCATGTTACTGATTTCTCCGAGTGTGTCTGCCTTGCTTCATGGCGTCTCCAAGTCTGAAACATAGTACTCACTTGTCCAGAGACATCACCGGGAAGACAAATTTTCCCAGGCAGATGCGACAGATGGCACTCAGGGGAACTTGCTGCATCTGCACACAGCTGAGCATGATGAAGTCATATTTGCAGATCAAGAGGGTCTTGTCTGTGAGTAGAAGGACCTTTTCTTTCTCGTTGTTCCAGTGATCAATCCTGAAGGAACAAACACATGGATGAAGAGATGATTACATATTGGCCATACAGAATAAATACTGCTTATAGAAGGTGGCATAGCTCAAGAAAATATAGTCTATCAACCCTATATGTAAGAAGATGTATGAGGAAGCGTGTATGTGTGAAATAAAAACGTGCGGATGTCAAACTTGATTTTGGGTCCTTTGGGAGGAAATGACTGTGAATGGGAACATGGATTTCTGTCACTTGATACTGCTGTGCGTTTAGAGTTTAAACTTCTTTCCGCTTAAGGAGCTGGTCTTCAAAATGGATACAATACTTAGGGCTCATTAATCTGTGGGAGGAGTAGGAAAAATCACTCCACTGGGTTCTTAACTCAGCGGTGTTTAGTGTTGATGTAGACACAGGTCACTAAGGGACTTTGGATAACTGAATATATATGCCACCTTCTTTGTAGTATAAAGAGAGTTAGAGAAAATAAAAGGTTACGCCCATGGGAGGAAGAACTGGAGAAACATGAACGAGGAAATTAGAGATGAAGAAAGAAAGGAAGAGGACCCAGAAGGAGTGGGTATAGAAGCTGACCATTGACTGAGGACCCCAGTGCACAATGGTCATAGTATGGCTACATGTATTAGCTCTCCATCTGCCCACAACTTTCTGCAGGAAGTTTAGAGGTGCATTCATTCCATTAGAAAAATTAAGGTGTTGCAGCATGGCAGAAAGAAACAACCTCAAATCCAAGAGGTCTTAGTGAAGTTTTTGATATGTGGTTTCCACCTACTCTATACAGCATCATTCGATTGCTACTCTACGGAGAAAGAAGACAGTAGGGCTTAATACGTTCTGCCTTAGAAGGATGGAGAAACTGAAATGTTTTACCAGCTAGCCACATCAACTTCTCTAAATAGATGGTATCTACTTAGCAGTATGTTATAAATGGTTGCCTAATAAGCCAGACTTGTTTTCAGTCTGAGAAAAAAAAAAGGGGGGGGATAAGAAAGAAAAAAAAACTGCAGCTTTTGGTTGAATGGTTTTACTGAAAATGTCAGCACTCCATAATGAGATATATTTTAAAAGGTAAAGGATTCCGGAGGGGAGGAAAGGAGAATTCTTTTTAGGAACACGGAGTGCTCTGCTGTGACACAGACTCTGAATAATTTACATGCCGGCATGTCTGAATTCAAGTAAACACTCTGGCCTATAAATAGCCCAGGCCACCAGCTCCAGCATCTAGGTGGTGGTGTTGCTTTGGGCTCCAGTCATATCTTCATTTCTTAAAGAACCCATGCAGACGCTGAACCACGTAGTCCTGATACCGATACCCTTGATGTTCGGATGACAGCAAACCCAGAGAGAGAACTAACAGCGGCACGGAACTACCGCTGCTTGCCGATTACCAAGGCCTGCCACCTCAGCGCTCTCTTTTACTCCGCACTGTAACGCTCTAGACTGAACGCATCCACCCCTGTTTTAAAGATACCCAAACTAAGATGGCACACGTGGTGTGGTGGTGTGTTACACATTGCAGGGTCATACGCACAGGGGCCTGAAACGAATATGGAGACATCGAATCGAGGCCTAGCTTGGGCTCTCTCCCGAGTGACACCTCCAAACAAAGGGCCCTTCCTGTGTATGCAAGTGTGGTCAAGCGCTTCTCTGAGGACACGTATCCTTACTTGCCACTGCAGATGTCAGCTTACCCGAACACACATGATTCCCCGCCATGTCCTCTTATGCCCTGCCTTGCCTTGGGAGAGAACTTGCTACCTGTTTCTGCTGGTTACAGTCATTTCCATCAGAACATCCCCCCTCCCGTGCCAAATTCTAACCATTTCACTACAAAATGGCTCTAAACTCGCCACCCTCCTCCACCTCTGTCCACCTCTGCTGTCACCATCCTTAGCAGGTGGACTGCTGTCCCTAGATTAGCTATTACAGCTGCAATCTTTGGCCACCTGGACCTGCTTTACCTGCATCCGCTTTCTGCCAACCTCTGCACCCTGTTTCACCAGTGCAGTTTTGCTTTTAGTTTATAGGTAGGTTTGGCTTTTGGGTGCTTGGTTTTTTTTTTTTTTTTTTTTTTTTTTTGGTGTTTTGTTTTAAAAAAACCCAATCCGTTTTTTTTTTTTTGCTCACTCAGCTTAAAAAGCTTCAGTGGTTTCCTGTGGCTCTTATGGCAAATGACAAAACAAGCTAGAAATATTGGGGTGTTTTCCTATTTATTTTGTTCTTCTGGGGCTTTGGTTTTGGTTCGTATGTTTGCTTGTTTGTTTATGTTTGTTTGTTGAGAAAAGTTCTATGCTGCAGCCCAACTTGGCCTCACATTAAATAGTCCAGGCTGGTCTCAAACTTTGGAGGACACTCTGCCTCCCCCTCCCAGGTTCTGGAGTTACAGACACCTGCTACCATGCTCAGAAAGTGACAAAACATTTAACCTTCCTCTACAAGGTCAAGCCTTATCAGCCTCATCTCAAGCCCCATTTTTGTACTCCGTTCTCCTTCGTCCGATGCCATTGCTGTTTCTCCATGTGTTTGTTCGGCTTTTAGTTTGGTTTTGGACTGTGTCCTCTTTAAGAGCCTTTGTATATGTTGGGCCCTTTGCAGGCAATGTTTTTGATCGCCTTTGCCTAGGTAATGCCTACAGACTTGAGCTCCACCCCTGCTTGCTACCACACAGCCTGGCTCTGCGAACCCTTCCAGTCTTTCTAATATGCACTGACGCAGCAGCACTCTTTCCTTTAACCTGGATGAAGTTTTATAGCTATTCTTATGATCATATAATTTATGTGTCACTTATCTTGGACAGCATACATACACTGCCTGCTCATGTCTGGGGATTTCCAGTCATGGTTTTCAATAAACTGAAATAATCCTCCCCTCATAAAAATAGAACATTAAAAAAAAATGAGTACATTTTGGGGAAAAGCTCATGCCATAATAACGAGAAAGAATAAGATGTAAAAGCAATGTTCTGCCTGTGTCAGAACTTTAACATTCATTATTATTCTTCTATGGTGAAATTGCAAATGATGTGTGTGTGTGTGTGTGTGTGTGTGTGTGTGTGTGTGTGTGATCGCACTCGCATGCGCACACACACGAGTGCCAGAATGCCTCAGGATTCTCTGTCTCTTTCTCCCCAGGACTGAGATTACAGGTATTGGCCACAATGCCCAGTTTTTATGTGGGTTCTGGGGTTACGGACTTGGGTCCTCATGTATGCATAACAAGCACTTTAATGACAGTTGTTTCTCTAACCACTATAATACTTAATTTTAAAAACTAGAAACTATTTGGATTTCTCTGATTGATAAAGTTGCTAAACCGTTTCTAAGAGATATTTCTTAGCAGTTTTCATTTCCTTTGCAGGCTTTCTGTTCAGATCCATAGCCCAATTTCTAAACTGGGTTGTCTGTTTTCTTGCATTTTTAAGATCTTTGTGTACTCTGGCTATTAACCTTCTATTGGACGTAGAGCTGCGACGTTTCTTCCCACGCTGTAGACTCCTTCTTCACTTCATTGATGTTTCCTTTGCAGTGCAGAAACTTGATGCTTGAGGATTTTCTATTTTTGAATTTTGGGGACTAATTCCTGAGTAAACCAGTTCTTACTGTGTGATTTCATCTCACCCTAGCCAGAGTGGCTGAAATCGGGGGAGAAACTGATGAGAAACTGCAAAGGGGTGCAGCTACCATGGAAATGAATGTGAAGAAATCTCAAAGAGCTGAAAGTGGGCCCGTCACAGGATTCAACCAGACCATTCCTTGGCATCCATGTTCAATGTCGCTGCATTCCCAATAGCTAGGAAATGCAATCAGCCTAAACGTCCATCAGCTAGTAAATGGATAAGGAAGACGTGGTACATCTGCATAACTGAACTCTATTCAGCTACACAAAGAAATTAAAATTTCAGGTAAGCTGACAGAATTTGAAAACATTACACTGAGTGAGACAGCCCTGACTTAGAAAGACAAACACTGCCTGTTCTCTCTTACTTGTGAATCCGGCTCTGAGTCTTTAGATCTGAGCATATAATCTGTAGCAACCCTGGAAGCCAGGAAACAAAAAAGAGATAGTGGGGGTTGGGAGTAGATGAAGCACTCTAGGGATGGGCAGAACAGGACACAGTGCTATGAATAGGGGGAGTGGAAAAACTGGAGCAGGTCTTAACTGCGGAGGAGGAAGAGAGGATGACAGAGAAAACGAGGAAGAGAGGAGTGCTGAGTGATCCTGAGGACTGGGGTGATAATAACGTCTTCTGGACAAGCCAGAGATGCTGCTGCTATGAGCCCTCAATACACCTGCTTTCACAAGACCTGCACGGACCTCACCAGGCCAGAGGCCAATAAGATGAAATAAACTCTAACAAGGCTCCACCCCTAGAGGAAGAGCCTCAGAATGGCTGCTGAAGGAAAGAGAAACTGTTCATTTTCCCCAGGGAACAGATCCTAATCCTCAACAGTCAGCTTCAGACACATGCAAATAAGGACAGCATTGCCAAGCTCTCATAATCCCCCACCTCCCCTGTCCACACATATCTAAAGAGGTCATTCATTTGAATGAGAAATGGAAGAAAATGTAAGGAGGTGGTGAGGGGCTGGAAGTGATATAAACATGATGTGCTTATTTATGAAATCCTCAAATGATTTTCAAATAAAATAAAAATTTTTAAAAATTGGATTAAGGGCCTTGAGAGATGGCTCAGTGGTTAAGAGCACTGGCTGCTCTTCCAAGTGACCAGGTTAAACTCCCAGTAACCACATGGAAGCTCACACCTGTTTGTAACCATAGTTCCAGGAGATCTGATACCCTCACAGAGACATGTATGTAGGCAAAACACCAATGCACATAAAATTAAAAATAAGTTACTTAAAATGTTGAATTATAAGATGATCAATCCTCACTTAGAAAGACGAATGGGATGGACATTGGATGTAGGAGAAAACAAGTAACAGGACAGGAGTCTACCACAGAGGTCCTCTGAAAGACTCTACCTAGCAGTGTATCAAAGCAGATGC